GCTAGGCTGTAGTGCTCACTGCATGCTACCCTGGCGGAGGCTGACCGATTTCAAAAAGCGAAGCTTTTATTGCTCTCCTTATACGGTCGTGAAGGTTTCTGCAGTGAGCACTCTCTGTCTTTTCACAGGCTGTGTTCTTCGGCAAATCACAAGAGATGAAGAGAAGTAAAAGATACGAGATGATTGAAGGTGGCTCGACGAGCGTCACCATGGTCACTGCAAGCGCTATCCCTGAAACGAACCCCGGCATGCAGCAAGCCAGTCGATGGCCAGCTTCACGCCAAACTGCATTGACAGGCGGACACCGTGCACTGATACAGTGATAGTGATGGGATAGGTCCTACCTAATGTCGTTGACTCCTCAGTGCACTCTTCAGTTTCGATAAACGCGTCATCATTCTGATACCCTCTCAGTCTGCCCAACGAATTTGGTACTTCCAGTTCCAACTCTCCTTCCGCCATCTTTTAGAAGATCTCTACGAAAGAGAAGTGCGAAGGACTGGGGTCACGGAAATACAATGTAGGGCCGCGTTCCTGTAGTAGGCCTTCGCCTTGGAGTCACCCCAATGCAGTTGTCCACACTGGTGTGAGTAGCGCGGCGACTGATTGAGCTGTTGAAGCCTGAAGCCGAGTGAAGGCAGAGACTGAACGGTACCGCCTACAAGTACATGTACATGTTTTGTTTTTGTTTTTGTTTTGTTTTTTACTAAGGCCACAGCTTCCAATCATGACATTCAAAGCAGCGGTGCATGCAGCATCGCAGGCATGAATCGTGGACGTGGTGACGGGGTCTGATGTGCACATGTGATCCACCGACCTAGGGTCTCGGCTTCACTGAGCAGCAAACGCGTCGAAAGAAAATGTAGCAGCCTCACACAGATCAGTAGGATTATGAAGGGAGAGCTAGAGGGCCATGGAGAGACGGACGATGCGATGAAGGCCAATCAAATGCCGGGTCACAAGGGCTATTTTAACTCTGAGATGCGGGGTCGATGCTGCTCTGAAATGCCTTGTGTGATGTGATGTTCATGAGTTGTCACTACGTGGTAAAGGCATCATAATTCGATCTTCTCAATACTCATACAAACATGCAATGATACATTCCAAAGCGCCTACAAGAGGCCATGCAGACTCTCCAGACGCGACCATAGTCTCACGGTTGTCTAAGAGAGTTAGTTCTACCGTGATCTTGCGACGAGCACATGGTTGGCTCTAATCTTGATGATCGATTCGAAGTCTTCAAGCCACCCACTCCGCCCCGCTGCACAACATGAGGAAACCACTTTGACATGTACAGACAGTTCGTAGTCGTCATTCACACGTATAATACGGTATAGTATTAACTTATACAAAGCCATACTTCATGGTCGAAGTACTAGATATTGGCTGTGGAATGGCCATTCAAACATATCACGTGCTTGTTGCCATCCGACGGCCAATCAGCATCGACTTGTACCAGGGCAGAAATTGTGTGTATTGCCTAGGCTAAGGCATGGCAATGCTCCATGCCCTTGTGTGTACACTCTCGGGCAAGCCCTCGAGCGTACACACGCGGGCATGAATTTTCCACCAAGCCCTTCCTTCCATGCTTGATTCTACGTATACCAGTGATCTCCACTTGGCATACCCGACGACAAACGCCCAACTCGACATTGATGTCTCATTCTGTTATCACCTCCGTGACGTCGTAATAACTCTAAACAGCGGTGGCAGAAGTGTAGAACTCTTCTGGAAATGTAGGTAGGTCATTGAACGTGAGGCAGAATACGCTTTCACTGCAGCCGCGAGCTGTACATGTGCTATACTGAGAGTAGTAGATGGTGCCAAGAGCTGTACTGAGACTCAGAGTAGTAGATGGTGCCAAGTCAGTAGTCCACATCCTTTATTGCTGAACCCACAAATAATAATTGTGATACAGATTGGTGCCAAGTCAGTCGGCACCTCACTTGTACTGAGGTTGTAGGCAGCTAGACTAGCAAATGTGCCCTGCAAGTGCAACATTAGCAGCCGCTCTCCGCGCCCCAGCCGAGTTATCGGCGGAAGACAACCAGGTCGGCGTGATCATTTTCTACTGTGTGGCATGCATCTACATGTATACTGTTTTCTAACCTTCTCACACTCGAGTTAGGGTCTCGGAGAATAGATCTCTTTCGTCAAGTTTCGATCTCCCGACTCCCCTTCATTGCACTTTCATCAAGACATTATGCCAAGGAATCGCACACAGTCGACTAGGCATGGGTGCAACTACCAGTACGACACGTACATGTAGATCTACACTACAGTGCACGTGTGGCTGTGGCACAACATTATGTACATGCGGTGATACAATCATGTCATTCACGGAAGCCTGGGTACTACTGTACTAGTAGATCTACTAGTACTAGTAATGGGCCCCATATCGCCCCCCCCCCCTCCCCTCCCCCCCCCCATGAAAAGACTCGACCAGAACTTAAAAATGAATGATACTATAATGACCGAGTACGGATAAGCATACGAAGCCCTGTTTGTGACTGTTATACATGTACATGTACGTGTGATGAATGTTTTTTGAACACGAAACTCGGAGTAAAAAGAAAGCTTTTTCGTCTCTGTTTATTTATTTTATTTATTACAGCATCTCATAGCACAGTGAGAACACCGGCCAATACAAAGAGAGAGGGTGTTAACCAACCACGGCAAGGAAGGGAGAAGGGGAGGAGAAGAAAAAAAAGTTGTTCTACCTTGTGTACATGTACATGAACATGTGTAGGTTATGCTCAAAAGTAGTCAACATAATATGTACGAGCGCAAAGTTGGCGACGCCATTGAACAACAGCAGCAGCTGTCATCGCCAGTAACCTTCCAGGAAGCCCAAACACAGCATGACAAACCACAACAGCTATTCAACCCCCTCTTTTGATGGCGGATTAAGCACAGAAGGAAGAATGAAGATGTACACGAGGTCGCTCTTGTTAGCTGTCTTAGCTACACATGTACATTATGTCGAATGTAGCGAACTAGCATCTGGAGCAATGCTGGCAAGCGGCTCAACTAGTCTATCTGCCAAGAAGATACATCATACTAAGTGGCACGGACACATCGACTTCGTTCTATACAACTCACGGGGAAAGAGAAAGCCATGCGCATGTCTGTAGCTATCCATAAATCGCACTTTTCCTTTCTCTCCTTCGTTTCCTCCAATACGAAACATTATTATTTTAACAAACGTGCACACGAATACATGAACCGGTAAACAACAGCAACAACACCTGTCTCGTGAAAGTGTCATCGATCAGTTCAGGGATTTACAACCTGCAAGTACTATCCCCTTTCAAGGCGGAGAAATGGTTGTAACTCGTCCACATGTCAAAGAAAATAGGCGGCGATATATATGTGAGCCACGTTTTGAAACACCATGAATGACAATTTTGAAAGGGGAGGGGAATAGGAGAAAGGGTTTCAGAGCAGACCCGCTCTCTTCCCATTCACTCCGCAAACTTGAGCTCGTTTCTCAATCAATTATTACAACATGTCGGCAAAATTGCTCGCATCAGCTGATGAGGGCATTATTTTGCCGAAACGTTGTAATAATTTGAACTCGGAATTTTGTCCTTCTCCGTTGTAATAGTTGTTCGAGTTTGCAGAGTGAATGGGAAGAGAGCGGGTCTGCTCTGCAAGTTATTTTTCCTATGAATGAAGCTGCAGGAAGCCTCACCACTAGCACTGCTACTAGGAAGGGGAATGTACATTGTATATGTATATGAAAAGATACATGTGCTTCACGCTCCATCGCCTTGGCTTGGTTCAGCACTCTTTCTGGTTAGCGTCAAAGTGATCTGCCCTCGTGCAAAGCTTACCGTGTTTTTTTGTTTTTTTTTTATTTTAAATTTCGGCCAGTCAGCTACTATCATTTTCGTCTTGGGGGTTAGACAAGGGGAAGTAGCCATGTCGGGGTGTGAGCCCGCCTTTCGGCACTGGGAGTTGCAGCTCGCTCGACTTGACTCTACTGAGTGCAGAGGACCCACACCTTCATCTGGTGAGCTGCGTCGTGGCCGTGTTCATCGCAGTTAGAGCTCTCGGACTTGGATGATTTGAGCCGGTATAAAAATGCTTTGTTGTTCATTAGACTTCATTGCCAGTAGCTCTGAGCTCCCCTGACGAAATCTAACGCATTGAAACAGCTACTTCTGAAGTATCTCTCCGGATACTGGGTATGCATGTGAAAAAAAAGATACACCGCAGACTCAGCGAAGAATGTTCAGGTTTGTTGTAACTCCCAGTTTCATGCCGCGAGGCAATCATCAGACAACTGATATCGGTGTTCTACCCAACAATACGATTTTAAACACATAGGGGTTCAAGCATTAAAAAGCGACTAGCGCTAAGTTCAGGTGGGCGTTAAGTCTGGTAGCGCTATGTTCTAAGCTCTGACATTGAGTACTCTGTACAAGTCTGGGATCAACGGATTGGTTGGTGAAAAGGATACAATCGTGTTCACTGTAATGTGAAAGAAACTAAGTCGCAACGGAAATATCAGTACAATAATAATGATAAAGCAGCAGAGAAATCTGCTAGAACCGAGATCTTTAACGATAGCACCAAAGATCACCGAGATCTTTTACCTTCTACTGTACACCGTTCTTTCACCTGATGAACAACGACTTGAAACTACTGAAGTATTATCATCACTGGGAGTGCACGTTTGCGAGTCGAGAGGGCACAGTGATGAGCGTAGTACGGCTTGGTGTGGAAACTACCTGTGTTAAAATGGCTGATTCCAAAACATGTACAGGGGATGATCTGAGAGAGAGAGAGAGAGAGAGAGAGAGAGAGAGAGAGAGAGAGAGAGAGAGAGAGAGAGAGAGAGGCCATTCCGACAAGTGTGTATCACTATCACATCCTCATGTGTGCATGCTTCGTTAAGTTAATGCATGTATTCTCATATCCGCCTGTATGTAACTACATTGCACAGGGCAAATAATCACCACCATACCGCGTAGGGAGAGAAAGACAAACGCCAGGTATTTGTTGCGCCGAGGGTAACTTGTAAGGCGGGCTAGTACTAGTGGCAATCCAGTCGGCCACAGCATGCAAGTACTTATGTAAACATCACTGTACATTCTGTTTCGTAGTGAGCTTGGTGACTAGCTACATAGTCATTGGTCGCGAGCAGAGCAATGACGTTTCTGATAGCAAGGTTCTGCCATGTTTTGCGAGAGAAGGACGTCATTCTCGGCCCGAGATATCCACATGATGACGAGCCAGCTGTCTCCGGTCACAAGTACAACACGGACGTGTAGAGAAACTGGTACTATACGCCACTATATTAGTATAATTATGGCCGCATCGGAATGCGATGAATACAACGATTGCAATTGGCCGAGGTGCGAATTCAAGACTCAATTCAGTCTAGACGTACAGTAGAAGTACGTTTGCACTGCTCCCTGTAGCCATACGTCGTACATCATGTCCCCCGCCAGTTCTACCTTTCCAGCACCACACGCAGCTATAGACTAGTTTACATGTAGTTCTGAGGACCCTTGACGTTGTTATCTGCCGAACTGAAGCAAGGTAGCCCGCACATACAATGTAGCTGCCGCGTACACATTCCGGGTACATCACAGAGGTGAGGCTACGGTCATGAATTATTAACATGGTCGCCACAAAGACCGGCTTGACCGTGGACTCGAATTCCGCCTGATAAGAAACGCTCCTCTACTGCTAGCTGCGAGTTTCTGCTCGATGTAAAACACTCCTACTTGGAATTGACCAGCCAGTTGAAACAAATGTGAACCAAAGTGAACGTCTGTGAACTAGTCTCCGCCAACTTGGCTGCGAGCTCATTTTTCAACGAAGGAGTAACATCCGGATCTTTAACCTAGCTGACAAGATGAAGCTTCTCATCAACGCCCTGCCACTTGTGGCCGCTCTGGTTCTGTGTGGAACGCTGCTCGACGCCCGACCTGCGAAAGTGCAACGTCCCCAGCGTCGGTCGGAAGATGACAGCATGAGCGAGGATGTCAGCTCCCTCGACTCTATGTCTAGTACAAGTGGCTCCATAGACTCCATGTCCGTCGACTCAGTTGATTCTGTGGATTCAGTTGCTTCTGTGGACTCAGTCGATTCCATGGACTCCGACGAGGACACAAAGAGAGAGGATTCGGAAGATGGCGTTGCCGGCGACGATGACTCTTCTGCCGACTCGTCTGCGGACTCTGTCGACTCCTCTGCTGACTCTTCGGCTGATTCAAGCGATGGTGAGTATTAGTGCACTTCGATTTACAAGTATCTCGTTTGTGGTTTAGCCCTTCCTTTGCACAACTATTATGCGAAGCTTGCAATCAGATGGCCAGTCAAAACTAGAATCAGACTTCGCCGGCCTACCTCAGTAATGTATGCCACTGGGTACTCTGCGATTACATTCAGGTCATCTATGAATCTTGTGATAATTTGTGGTAAACCCGAAAACTTGCACAATCGAAGGCGTGCACCAGTTGTGCATTGCATTACTTTCCAGGGCGACTCACGTAGACAATACGGTCTGCTGCCAAGACTGCTGGTCATCATTCCCTGCAGTGCCAGTTGTGTAGTGGTTACTGTGTCACATACCCTGTGTAGTGGTTACCATGGTTACTGTGTTACAGACCCTGAGTAGTGGTTACTGTGTTACACACCCTGAGTAGTGGTTACCATGGTTACAGACCCTGTGTGGTGGTCACTGTGTTACAGACCCTGAGTTTGCAATAGAGGGTATAATCAGTAGTCATCAATAGAGGGTATAAAGAGCGGGTCGAAAGGGCTTCCGTGAGACAACGTTCCAAACGGTACTATCTACACTCTACAATCATGTTCTCGTGCCTGGCTGCTTGTATGCGGAAGAAGGACGACGGGAGCAAGGTCATCCTGTGGGCGGCATTACTTGTAACTCGCCGGTCGGATCCCGCCCCAGACAAGATGCGCCAATAGAGCTCATGGACATACAGGTACATGATTGTATCCCCCCCCCCCCAACCCGCCCCCTCTTGTTGATCTCCGGTTTACACGAGGGTACAGTAAGGTAACGTTACCATTAGTATGATTACGGTGGTAGACAATGTGAGTCTTTTTTGGAAGGGTACACTTCCTTGTCGAGGAGACCTTGCTATCTGGCCCGTGCCGCACCTATCTAATCAACACTGCAAAGCTCCAACAATAGATTCATCCAAGCTTTTCAACTGTGGCTTAATATCTGAGGGCACATCATATCTGCACACATGCGGCTCAGATATTCAATTGTGCACGATCAGTCCATTACGGTCCTTCACGAAGTCAAAACACCTGCATCGTGACTGAGGTTATTGTATTTCGTTTTGTGGTGCCTTTTGGCAACGCATACCCTCACATTGAGACTTCATGCTGATGTTGTGAGCTGTACCCACGGCTATCGGTATCCATGCAGTCACTCTGTCCTCCGAGTCAGAGAAAACGAGTCAGGGAAATGAGTGAGGGAAATGCTTCACGTTTGTTGCTATATGTATTAAACAAAGAGGACACGAGTAGATAGAAACTTAAAAATAGATAAGGAAACGGGAGCGCAGTCATTCGCAGACACCCAGCAACATGTAACTACAAGTTGCTCATTGTGTCTGCGAATGACAGCGTTCACGTTTTTGTTGCTACATGTATTGCTGTACATTTTATTTAGAAGTAAGCCTTCTTACCTTTTGCAACTGCTCGTATGAAGGACAATAATTATGCAAAAGAGGAAAGTAGAAGATATTGTAACAAGGAAAAGTGAGGAATAGAAGAATTGAGGATTCTGCTAAGATTTTGCGACAATTTGTGAAGAAGAAGGCGGCTCCGAACGTTGAAGCTCTCGCTTCCTGCCGACTGCCTAGCTTGACCCTTAGTTGAGATGTTATGATGATATCTTACCTAACTTCCGTAATGTTAACGCACAGTGAACGTGGCTTCGCACAAAACACATGGTATGTGGAAGGCATTGTAGTGGATAAATCCCAAAGCCACAAGAGCTACTGCTGTACGAATGGCTTTGAGACATTCACAATAATAAACGAAGAACCAAGAAACAGGTGGTTGCTGCCACATGTGTGACTGCTTTTACAGAAATGGATGTCATTGCTCGTGCAATGGCAAGCTGGAAATGACAGTGACTGGATATCTTGAGAACATGACTCCTGCCCGGTGCTGGGGAGCGAATTCCAAAAATAGTTTAAAATATTCTGGAATCTTAGAAATTCAGCGTTGGTCAGCCAGGTGGTCTAGGCCAGACGGGGACACGCATCAGCCATTGATTGGCACCCCGAGGGTTCCCATCACTTCATCGATGCTAAAGCCTAGTAAAGGCCATTGCTGATGAGTCGACGACTACTGCATGCACTATTATTGCTGTACTCTGCAGGTGACAGTGTTGACGACAAGAGAAGGAAGAGAAGACAGGAGGATAGTATTGGTGATGATAATGACTCCAGTGCTGATGAAGATGAATCGGATTCGACCGATGATAGCTCCTCTGGTGACTCCTCTGGAGACTCGGTCGATTCTTTGGATTCAGTGGCCTCTGTCGACGGTAAGGAAACCAATGGCTATTTTTTTATAAGCGAACTATTCACTACAGTGTATAATTGCAGGATGATAGTGGATAGTACAACATCAACCGGTTCAGCACTGCCGATTGGTCGTGCAGTCATGCAACAGCTGCACATACGCAATTGAATGACTGCCGACAGCAGTGCGTCGAGCATGGTTACCCTAGACGGATTCCGAAAATCAATGACCGCTATAGGAATTTTGAATTCCACACAAGTATGGGTAAACCAGATCGTGCTTTTTGTATTTCTGGATTTGTAATTTTATTTCCACGCCAATGAGTGAGCAGGAATTACATGTACACTTAAAGAGAGCGGTTATCAGCTGACAATTATTTTCGAAATGACAAACAGAACACTTGAAAAGTGTGATAATGTATTGATGATCCATATCTGAAGCGCAATACACAAAGCAGTAGAAGGCCACATAAAATATTAATATGATGTACAACATTAGAGATACAGAGGTACCATTAGGCGAATGGGCGAATAGGGTGGAGCACGTGCATAGGGAATGAAGGAGAAGATAGTGGAGGAAGAAATTCATCTGGCCTTCAGTGATCAGTTGCAGAGCAAGATGATGATCTGCATAATTTACGGCTGACTATGCTTATGCAATCAACGGAATTCCGCCACCTTGCAGTTGATTTTCCCCATTTCTCTCCTCATCAATCCCTACTTCTCTTTGTACATACATCTACATCTACTGTTCTTTCAATCAAATGAACCCCTCGATAGGCACATTGCCTTTGGGTCATTTCATAATAATAATAATAATGATAATAATATATTATGTGCTTGTACATGTACATGTATTAGGGATCCCCATGATTGTGTGAATTATGAAAGCATCTTTGCAAGCCTCGTTGTAACACAGTCACACCCAGTGAACTACCATTTTCATAGATCGCACCAAGTAACCTCTAATGGCATGTTGAAGTTACCCTCAGTTACCCTGAATAGTCCATGCACCAGTATTAGGCACTAATAATCCCTGCTCTGCGATACGTTAGTAGCCAAGGTAGGCTTACATGTACATGAATTATACGTGCAGACAGTGATAAGTTAGTAATCAAGATAGGCTACATGATTATATACCTAGAGACAGTACCGATTGGCTACTAGCATCGAGGATGTCCTGTTCATTTTGCATGCTGATTTCCTGTGTTCCTACAGGTAAGAGGAAGAGGCGACAGAGCGAGGATGACTCAGCTAGCGATGATGTGTCGTCGGCAGACTCTTCGGACGCCGATTCCTCGGCTGACTCTTCGGACGCCGATTCCTCGGCTGACTCTGTCGACGATTCCTCTGCCGACTCTATCTCTGCAGACTCCAAGTAATCGGCACTGTACTCATGCATAAAACACCCAAGTCAAACCATGCAGTAACTATCTCACCATCCCGCTATCCCCAAATACTATTCCGGAGATTAATCACTGGCACAGCCGAAATATAATTATAACAAAAAGTATCAACTGCTCTATACGCCCTGTACGTTTTCGCTCTATTCCCGCAATGCCTTGCGCACTATCTACGCATGTTTGACTGTATTGATGATACCGTTATGATGATACCGTTATGATCCCTCTCCGGTGATTATTGCTCTTTACAAAGCCTATCAAGCCAACGATGTAACAACTTATAAGGTATGCTATAGGATATAACACATCTGCTATCTCCCCAGTGCATGTATGTCTATAATGATCATCCACAATTTCTTTGTGCAGCGCGAAAGTAACACATCTATCTAACTTCGACTTTTGCTGGCCCTCCCCGTGTGCCTTTGTGTGCAGCCACTTGGCAACCCTCCATTAGATGCCACTGGGAGTGGCAGCTGTCCCTGATAGAAACTGAGAGAGTAAAATGGCAAGCAGCACTCCTGGAGTGGACGACCACTCCTGAAGTAACTCAACACGACTGATCACACAGCATGGGGTTGTGTTCCCGCAAACAAGAAGAAACAACACAAGGCATTAATGGGAATGCAATGCCCTCGTCCCAAAATCAAAAATCAAACAAAAACAAACATGATCACTATGAGCAACAAACGTGTAGGAAGGAATCGATGAATGATAACTAGTCTAGCAAGATGTGAGCTTCCGACACTGCAAGATTGTAGGATAACTCATTAGCAGAATCACAATACATGTACATGTATGTACCTTAGAAACGCGAGAAGCTACTGGGACAAGGTTCTTGGAATAGTAAAGAGCCCATTCCGGCAAACCAAACCGGCAGGCTTGCCCAATATTATTATGATGGCGATGGAAATGGTACAACATTACAATGTTGACCGCTTTAGGAGCTGCATCTGCACCTTGATCCTTGAACGGTGGTGGTGAAGTTCGTACGGATGCGGAAAACTCGGCCTCTAGCCGAGTCTGACGCGAACCGTGAAATGTTTTTTTTACAATGTTGCAAATAGCAGTGGGAAAGATGGCTACTCGATTCTATACCACTATTAAAGCAGAACTAGGAGAACGAAAAGTCTACCAACCGATCAGCCGTTATAACCGTTAGAAGGCTTTGGAGTGAACGAGATGCTGCACTAGCCACACCAGTGGTGGATATAACGACGGTTACGTTAGAACATCGGCATCCAGAATTGGCATTTGCCCCTGCAGCATGACATTGGAATTTGAGACGCAGCAGAATTCATTACAGCTGGCCAGACTAGACCACCGGTGTCATAGGCAATTTCCCAGAATACCGTCAAAAGGGATAACATCTTAAGTTCTTTGCCGAATGTGGGAGTGTGTTGGCTCAGTATCGCAGAGGAGTTAAATGATACAATGTATTCCTCTCGTCAGTGGACAACACCCTGCACGTCTTGATACCTGGGTAGCAAGGATGCACAATTCCTCCTAACATCAAGGTGTGCTGATGGAGCAGGCGCTTCCGACCAAATCCTCCAGGCGACATTCCATGGCCGAGTCGAAGACGTTTGGTGCTACCCTCCCTGTAAGCTGCACATCACCTTGTGCGCCCGTCTAACCGCTCTACCACTGTAAGTACGATCAGTACAATGAGTATGTCGTTGCCGGTGTCGGACTACATTGTACACCAGGGCATTACTTTGTTGCGGTCGGTTCTTCTTCGGTACGTCAACGTCGTATTACTCGTTTTTCGCTTCATCTTTCCCCCTGTGCATTTTTGAAGTACATATATCATGGCTCCTCTAAAGTGAGCATATGAAACGTGTCTCTCCCCGAACATCTTTCCTGTGACCAACTGTCGGCGCCGATACCAGACTAAACAGATCTGCCATGAACGAGTTCATGCTCCCCGTAGTCAGGTTCCAGGTAGCTGGTACTGACAGCAAGTAGTTAGTTAATAGCATTAGTTACTTTGCAGGGCTAGCTTGACAGTTGGTTTTCATGATCGGTACATGTCTCCTGTCCACTGTTCTGCATATGTTGTAAATCGTTACGGGTACTGAGAGGTACAGAGACCAGGCCGGAGCTGGTTCCACGCAGGGAGTCGTCGTATTTTACGACTCCTTGATTCCACAGACCGGCGCCAATGAACTGCATGGTTGCTCGACCCGCAGGACCGGGCCAGAAGGGAACTTTACTTGGACAATGTGTTGTGCAGCTTCCCGGGTGCGATCGCTAGTAACTCTGAGGAAGAAGCTAGCTCAGGAAAACAAACAACAAACGACAAAAAATGACGAGCTTGGTATGAAATAAATTATGTCCTCCAGGGTGGTGAGGCGGAGCTGTTGGAAAAGCGGGCTTGTGCGCGACCACGGTGGAAGGCCGAAGAAGCCGGTCATAGCGCACTTAGTCAGCTGTGTCAGGGGCTCCATGTTGCCAATTGCGAAGGACTGATAATAGTGATAGAATGCGCTAGAAGCGTATGACAACCTACCCCGGATCATCGACCTGTAAACCAGGATCGTTGGCGCCAGTGTGAGGTGCTGGCTTGCGTAGCTCCGGTTATAGTGCTCCACTGCCACTGGGGTCTCAATGTGACAAGGGATGAGGAAAGAATGTCGCCACGACAATACAGGAGAGCTGTTGCGTAATGTTGATGTATGCATTGCATCATCTCCTGAACAGTGTGGTGTATGGTATAAGAGTATTATGCACAGCTGCTCCAGCCACTTGTGAGGGACGAAGCTCAGAAACTGAACCATACAACTTACAAGTATGACATCTTATTCTACAAGTAGGAACATTGTTTTTCGACATCCGTCTTTGACTCTGCAAAGGCCATTGCCATCAACGCACTACGTGCGGCAGAGCTCTGCGGCTTTACCAGTACTGCAACACCTCGAGCTCGAAAACACATGTCAGCTGACGTCCATATCTCCCCAGGTCTGGCCCATGCGTCAATGTGTCACTTAGGAGGTGAGCTGGTGACAAGAGCCGCACATACATCATGTTCATGTATTTGCAGTACAATACGAGTTGAGCAACATGCACTGACTGCGCCTTGGCTTTGGTGTCCGTCTACAGGCTGCCCATTACATACTGTCATGAATTTATTGTAATACAGCTCATGACAGGATTGGCCCAATGCTTGTACACAGTACTATAAGAACCAGGTCTGTCAAAGTCTACGAGACTACACTTCAATACATGTGTTGGTATCGTGACTAACACGTCCAACTGCACGCTGTCATGAAGAGCTTGAACCTTGAGGTAGGGACATGCTGTTATTCTTTCTGCGTTGACACTAGGACAAGGGCTTTGGACATGCTCTTGCCGCAACACTACAGTTATATTGCACGGGTCCGGCGTGGCCCATTACATACATGATTGTACAGTAATGATTGTAAACTAACTAGGGTGCAGCGGATTCTGCCGGCAGAAAAATTGGCAGAATTCGGTACATTTTCTGGTAAGTTTCATGCACGTTTGGTATGTGGATAAAGAAATGGAGCAGAATTCGAGGAATTGACCGCCATAAGGTTTGTATGGTTCTGCCAATTTTACCGTTTTTCGAGCAGAATCTGCCACTTTTCCGAGCAGAATCCGCCGGTCCCTAATACTAACTAATTCTTGAAAAATCTTGTTCCTGCCGAACACGATTTTGATGTGTGGTCCCGTGCTATATTGGTGATGGTCTCGTGGCTTGGTTTTCTAATCATGCAAGAATCTCCACAGCCCATGCCATCTATTTCCAACTTCGATCCGTCTGCTGGAACAGCTTGCTCTACCTGCTACAATTTCGGGTTTATATGGTTGAAGCATTTTATATTATTATCTATTTTATGCTATGAACAAAGTTATCTATTTGGTGCAGCTGTGAGCCTGTTGCCGGAATGGCGGTATTTTCAAGTGCAAAAAATACGCTGCAATGGAGTTTGGGATTTCTGAAGAAACGTTATGAACACAGTTCTACTGGAAAACATGTGGATGACAATATAAAAGAAGGCAAATGGGATGTAGGGACATGCCAATGTACTGAGAGTATGTCGACCGACTAGAGGCCTCGGTGTTGGTGTTGCAATCGGGTATTGTAAAATAGAGAAAGGGGGATGAGGCGTTGAATGATTTGCCTGGCCTAGTTACCTACTCCGGCAACGAGTTCGTTTATTGTGGTTTCGTGGAGAAATCACGCCCTGACAACAACACATTGATAGGATCTTCAGACGAAAAACCCCAAGTGCATTCCGTTGAACCTCTGATAGAGCGATGAATGGAACTCAACATGTTGCTATACTCGACTCTTCGGACACATAATGGAAGACAACACAGCCCAAAGCACAGGTGACAGATGACAAGCAGCGCAGCAGTTGTCAAAACGAAGCTGAAGGTCTATACATGTACGTCCCAATGTCCAGGGTCCTGGCCGCAGTCTCGAAGTCTGTTGGCTCGCACCTATAAAAAGCGACGGAGAGCTCTAATGTTTTTCAGTTTCGCTTCCTCCAGCTCTTGGACGAGTTTCCGAAAAGCGGTGAGTTGGGTGTTGTGTCGGACTACAACTGTATCAGGGTTATTTAAGCCTTGTTTGTCAGTGGGCAGATAATAAAATCCCTGATTGTTTTTTCATGTATACTGCGCTATGCAGGTACACGTGCAAGTGCTAACAATACCGTGATCAAATCATGATGTCGTCAGACATCGCCAGTGTCCTGTGTGCATTGCTGCTACTGATTTCCGCCACGCCCAAGCTTCAGGTGGCTGGCCAGAATGTAGAATTCCTTCCAACTCCCATAGTCCGTAAGTGAATACACAGACAACTTGGATGATGTCACTAGGGCAGAGCCTTAGCCAGCCATAGGAAAGCAGACGTGGTATCTGAAACAAATATTGTGAAAAATATTGACTTTATTATAGAAGGACTTTTTCCAGACGTTGCCCGTTTCCACCTCCTTCAACCTTATAAATATACTTGTACAATGTACTTAATAAAAGTAGAACGATGACTAAATTTTAATAGCGCACAGTGCTTGTGATACGGTAGCGCTTGACAGTTGTCTCTTTGTTATGACATTGTTGTGTTGGCAGTGGCACAGGAGGTCCAAACTGGTTGTCCCGATATCGACATTGAGAATGGACGCGCACAACTGAGGACATTCACCGATTTAGGGGTGACGACAGCAACGGTATGTAGAAGGGGGAATTTGGGTCTGGATCGTGCAACTGTGACCTGTGGGGTACTAGATTTTTGTTGTTGTTGTAGACGTTTATTTAACGTCGCACCACAAACAGGCGATTTCGCCTCCTTTGATACATGTGGACGACAGAAGGAATGAGAGAGAGGGGGGGGGGGACAGAGGTACAGAGATTGGCATTACATTTTGTCTCCATTCCGCATGGTCACTTCGTTTTCTGGTAGCATAATCAATTGTTGTCTTGCACAGTACGGCTACCATAACTGAAATCCGGTGGTCTAGCTTGCCCATAGAGTCAAGAGCAGAAGATGATCGCCTCGTGCGTGAAACTCAGAGTTACAACAGGGTCTTCATTCTCTTCTTCTTTCGAGCAAAAGATACACGTAGAAAATGATGTTGTACTTCACGTACGTACATTCAACAACGGTTTGGTCCATTGGGTTTGTTACGGGAACTTTCTCTGCTGCAGCTGAGATTCCTCTGCACACCACCTTACATACGCAATGGTATTCAGGACGCAGAGTGTGCGTCATCGGCCGATGGAGAACGCGTTCTGGTGAATGGTGCAGTTCCCCCTACATGCGAGCGTAAGTCACTTCTTTAATTAAAATTAATCATTCAAGGCCACCCTGCAGTCCTACATTGTAGCCTCAGCATAACTAATAAAGTAATACGATTGGAACCCATGCATCATTCTGCTCAGCTCCCTCAAGCTAATAAATTTATAACTAGCACATACAATAACATGTACCGGTACATGTATGTGCTAGTTATAAATTTATAACTAGCACATACATGTACATGTAGTAGGTATACGTAAGGTATTGGTTAGAATTCTGTTTGTACTACAAGTCTTGCATATGACAAGGTTCAGCAGAACAGACGGAAGAATGAAGAGAAAAGAAAGAAAAGCTGAGAGTCCTTCGATCATTCTGTTGGCGTTCTTCTGCATTTTGTTCACTGAATACAGCTCCTCCCTGTGGCCAGCCGCCGTCTATCGAGAATGGCCGAAGGGAGTTCAATGGAACAGTTTATCTGAACAAGGTGAGCACATCAATAATTATTGTTGAAATACATGACAGACGATCTGAGATTATTACATCAGCCCATTCAGATACATACAAATAACGTTATCTCTGTGTTGTGCATGGCGTTGACCTACTGGTAAGTTCAAGGTAATTCCATGACCTCCCATGTTACCTGTTCCTGCTCAGCGCATCCTCCTGGTTTCTGACATCTCGAATGATGTGTCACAAGCATCTCGACCACACCTCTCATTGTCCCCAAATGTGCTTCATCATCCATTGTCTCCCCTAGCTGTTTCTGACTAGTAGCAGCAATACTAATAATTGGAAGTACCATACTTATCAACCTTTCTTATTGGCTCCTCCTCATCGTGGAATACCCGAATTAAAAGAAATGACCGAAGTTATACTGTTCTGAGCAGTGAGCTGTACAGCGTTACAACGGTTCTGCGACTGATTGGTCCTACTTCAACTATACCTTAATTCTTTGTTACATATTACTCTTATACTAGTTACAGCACGGAAACTCCCTCGATTTAGGCTAAGGCCTGTGGAGAATCCATAAATACAAATACAAACACCATCGAACAGGGACAACACCTTTTGAGACGAACCCGTTATGTTTCATGCCTCATCTATTTTTTTCTACTTTTAGGCGGTATACAGATGCAACCCAGGCTATACGATTCAAGGCAAAGAAGAGCTGGAGTGCCAGGCAAACGGAACATGGACAGGCCCAGCTCCCACGTGTTGTGGTACGTAACAGTAAAGACTTATTTTAAAAGCAAAAGTAAAGTAACGTTCGTACGTCCGCGTTACCACCCATTACCAGTGTCTGCTCCAGTGCCGGGTGAGCCAGGTAATCCACCCGGTTGGGCGGTGCTTGGACCTAGTTGAAAATACAGTACCGGGTCACCTGTGACCCGGTTGGTACTTTACACTTTCGAACTATAATTGTAGCTACTTTGAAAGGACTGACTACATGGCTTGTATGTGTCGGATACTTCTTCTTCTTTCGTAATTTTCTAATTCCTGTCCTCTCTTTTCTAAATGCGGTTTATCCATTCGCCTTTATATCATTGGGCCTAGTTCCCGTTTATTGTCCGAACTAAAATAAACCAACCAACCAGTTAAAGCATGTGACTCGGCTGGTGAGACAGCGCCAGGTACATGTGTACCCGGCTCCGACCCGGTTGAAATGGTTGCGCCAGGTACGCGTGTACCCGGCTGTCCTACAGAGCAGACACTGATTACCTACAGACACAGCCGGCTTAGGGAGTGTCGCTAAATGCCATGCTACCGCTATGCCTGATGATACCATTGTTGCGGTACATACTGGTATAGTACTACACTACAAATACATGTACTACAATAATTATATCAGTGTGAGATGCGATGCATCACTGGAGTGCTGAACACACCTAGTACCTGTTCATTGCACCTCAAGTGTACTTTCATGTACATGCTCGCCTGTAGTAGTGAGCCTGGCAGATATCTCCAATCTGTTTTGATCTATTATTGCTTTTCTTGCTTATGCCCATACAGTGAGATGTCGTGCGCAACTCCCAGTGAACTTCCTCGCCAACTCTCAATCAGTAACGCGCAGTGCCAGCGTTCCTCATTGCGGCCAGACTGCTGCCGATATCATTGTGGTCGTGGATGAGTCCAAGAGCATGAAGCCACATTATAAGGAAAGACTCCACGAGGCTTTCACAAGGTTGGACGTCAGCCTAGAGGAGCATGGCATCGGTCTCTACCCCGGCAAGCCAAACCAGTACACCGTAGTCGGATTTGGCCATTCGGAAGGCAGGACAAGTGTAAACGGAGTCCATAGATACGTTCCACATGTCCTCTACAGCAACAATGGACGTCAGGTGTATGACATCAATGGTTTCCAGGAGGCATGCTCTAAACTGCAGACCACAGGCTCCCTGGAGGATGGTTATCTGGCGATGAAATTCGCTCTGGAGGACATCACATCGGGAGGACGACAATTACTCCGACTGAGGCGTGAAGATATCGCACCCGTTATTATCTTCATTTCGGATGAAGACAGGGATACCCACCAACAAGGAGCAGGTATTTCACGCAGCGCCATCAAGAGAATAATTCGCAAGAGTGGAGCCACAATGGAAGCGATTGTAGACAACAACGTCTGGTATAACAACCAGCGAGGTTTTGGAATGGATTCCAGCGGAACGCTGTACGTCGCTGAGAGCACTACACGGTACACAACATCAAACCCAAGGTTCTACAAACGTTACCTGGACTTGCACTACAGGACCACACGCCGTGACTACTCCTCCGTGGCCTTGGAGGTCGGCGGCGCTGCATGGGACTTGAACTCAATCCTGGACAGTGATGTGCTGTTTGATTCGCACGTCCAAGCGTTCGTCGACAAGACGGTGACCATGGTGGAGGACAAGGTGCATAAGTGCTGCTCATGCCAATGCTCGCCAGGCACAGAGGACAGATGCTTGCTCTGCACGTATGCATTGTCTGTTGGGGAGTGTAACCTTCCCGCTGTCATTGCTGGCTAATGGGATACAGTCATGTAACATTACATTCCATATTCGAACAGCTACAATGTAGCTGTTTCGACCTTGTTAGGTCTCCTCAGTACATAGTCATCTACATAAACACACTTCAGTACAATGTATTCTGGCTGTTCTGGTGCACGGTTTTTTCTAAATCTTTTTAAAACAAAATATGGCCTACTCCACTGATGCGTTTTGCAGTTCAATTCCAGGATTTCTAGAATTTACCACTGTTCGAAAAGACCTTTCCCCAATTCTTATTACCCTTTCTAAGCACTCGCAGACTCCACTGCAGCCACTTACACATTTTATTAGGGTGCCTCAAGCCCTCAACTCGAACGTTCCAAATAGGGTCTCTTCGCTACACACGCCGCTAATACAAAATATAAATAGTATAATTTGAAACTCGGATGTTGAGCCATAAATAAATGTGGAAGAGAAAAGGACATATGGATACGAGTTAAGAGTAACTCTCCATCACTGTAACATGATACTATATACAGTCAGAAAGTGCAATAACTAGGCACAAAACTGACAGAGTACTGAAACATTCGACGTCCTGACACCTAGCTTCAACACATCTCCGTAGCGCTAACCGACAGCCTTCCAACTTGGAAGGTTCAAGGTTATGGAAAAGACCAAAGAGGGGAAGGCAAGCGCAACGAAAACGAGCAAAAGCTACAGTCCCAACGGAACAAAGAATTCTTTGTTCCGTTGGGACTGTAGCTTTTGCTCGTTTTCGTTGCGCTTGCCTTCCCCTCTTTGGTCTTTTCCATAACCTTGAACCTTCCAAGTTGGAAGGCTGTCGGTTAGCGCTACGGAGATGTGTTGAAGCTAGGTGTCAGGACGTCGAATGTTTCAGTACTCTGTCAGTTTTGTGCCTAGTTATTGCACTTTCTGACTGTATATAGTATCATGTTACAGTGATGGAGAGTTACTCTTAACTCGTATCCATATAAATAGTATAATTATTGAATTCACCAATTTTTCCCATCTTCAGGGTGAAAACAGTCAATTATTACGCTACCTTAATAGTTAATTTAAGTTAAAACCCTTTCAGCACGCATCACGTATATGTACGTGATGGTACATGTAACTGGCCCACGGATCACGTATATATACGTGATGCGTACAGTGAAAATGAACGTACTCCCGAGACATCCGTGGTCGACGGATCTTATCCCTACGTGGACCAGTGACGTGCTGGATGAACGTCGACTGTTCTACGATAGTACTGACGGGCGCACGTGTGCCGCTATGCACGCGTACTAGTACATAGATGTCGCGTGCGAACATGCATTCCGCAGAAAAAATTGTGAGTGAATAGGACTACTTTTGGAAAATCACGAAAATCACTGGTTTTGGCTCCGCGGGTCAGTTACACACCCTGGCCGTGCTGAAAGGGTTCTTATATCTTTTAGTTATGGTCATCACACTGTGACTCTCTTAAAGGGGAAGTTAATTAAGGCAAAAATTAAAATTTTACCAGTTGTAGTCTTCGGGGTGCTGAGTCGAATAGTCGTGGTCCGAGGAAGCTGAGACGCTCCCTTCCTACTTGAATCCCAATCGAACTCGCGCACTTCCACCGAAACTGGGTGACTGCGCCCTACTAGATGGGGATTTGTATGCAAAATGTCACTAAAAGCGCCATTTCGTTCTTATAAAAGCACGGATGACCGCGATTGGCCCATATGTTGTACTCTTTTGGACGCTGAGTCGATTGGTTTTGGTCCGAAAAGGCTGCGATGCAGCGTTCCTCCTTTATTCCCAATCGAACATGGTTGAAGAAGCGGTCACGTGCTCCTGCGTACGCCAGTCACCTGGTCACCGTGCCTGCAGGGTACAACTTACACTGTACCAGCCTGTTTGACCTTTTTTGGGTGCAGTCCTGTCACTCGAGTTGAACTCGAGTTGAACCTTGGTGTGAAAGTTGTCGCCTGCTGGCGTGGTGACCAGGTGATTTGGGCACCCAGGAGCACGTGACTGCTTGTTCAACCATGTTCGATTGGGAATAAAGGAGGAACGCTGCATCGCAGCCTTTTCGGACCAAAACCAGTCGACTGAGCGTCCAAAAGACTACAACATAATTATGGGCCAATCGCGGTCATCCGTGCTTTTATAAGAACGAAATGGCGCTTTTAGTGACATTTTGCATACAAATCCCCATCTAGTAGGGCGCAGTCACCCAGTTTCGGTGGAAGTGCACGAGTTCGACTGGGATTCAAGTAGGAAGGGAGCGTCTGAGCTTTCTCGGACCAAGACCATTCGACTCAGCAGTCAGCACCCCGAAGACTACAACTGGTGAAATTTTAATTTTTGCCTTAACTTCCCCTTTAATAATGATCACAAAGGCAAACACGCCTGAGGCTTTATGGTTTCATCTCACCGAGCCCTGGATCCCTATTCCTGCATTGCACGGTCCGCTGCCTACACGAATACTATAGTACCGTATTGTCCCCAATAAACATGTATGTACGAGTACAGTACTAGTATTGGAGACGTGTACCTTTATTGTTTTTGTTTCTGGAAAGATTGACTGACTGCCTGGGTTGGGTGGCAAACAACGCGTGATAATGATACTGTGAGGCTGTAAATACACCCAACCAAGGGAAGAATCAATGTACAAAGACACAAAGATGATCAACGGGTAAGAAAAAGGAAGTAAGGTGGACCCTAGTATCTGTACCCCAGTAATCAGGTAATGCCCATCACACCATTCCGCCATCAGTACTATTTGTAGAGACGTGTCCTTTTATATTTTGAGCCACACTCAACATGTACCCAGGTACTACAATTGGAGACGTGTAGGTTTCCACGGCCTCCAGTACTGAACAATTACATGTCACGCAAGTCCCGTGTAGATAAAGCTGTGAAGTGTGAATTAAATGGGGGATAACACGGTAAGTACAATCATGTACATCAGCTCCATCCCAGTCCTGGTTGACCCCGATGGCATGGAATGCACCAAAAGCCACGACAAGGCTAACGTCATCGGGAAGTACTTTGCCCAGAAGTGCAGCCTAGACGATGACTTTGCAGAACAGTCGGGGCCGTTCCCGCATGTCCGCCAGCGCACCGCAAATACGCTTGCAACAATCCACTTCCGCCAAGCCACCGTACGCCGGACACTCCGAGCCCTGAACCCAAGTAAAGCCACAGGGCCTGATGCAGTACCTGCTAGAGTGCTGAGAAAATGTGCTGACTCTCTGGCCCTGCCCCTATCCAAGCTGTTTACCCTGTGCTTCTGCAGTGGTCATCAACCTGCCATGTGGAAAGTTGCCAACGTCGTACCGGTACACAAGAAAGGCCCCAAGTCGAACCCCAGAAACTACCGACCGATATCACTACTGCCCATAATGTCTAAGTGTATGGAGTCCATCGTGAACCGCAGCCTGTCCAACTTCCTGAAGAAGAATGACATCCTTTCTCACAGGCAGTTTGGCTTTCGCACTGGACTGGGAACCTCTGATCTGCTGATTGCTCTTCAGCATGAGTGGAGCCTTGCAGCTGCCAGTGGAGGCCTCGTCAGGGTACTCGCAGTAGATATTGCCGGGGCCTTCGACAAGGTCTCGCACAACGGCAGTAGTAGTGACCGGGCCGGTCCTGGTGCAAAGTCCTGGTTCAAACTTGAACCCACTTGACCTTATGAATGGGTACTTGAACTTTGCGGTTGTTAATTAAGTGGCCACTTGACCTTTTAATTGGATAAGTGGTAATGAAGTGGCCACTTGAGATCTGAAGTGGTTTTGAAGTGGGCCAGGTGTCATATTTAATTGGATTAATGATTAAGTGGTGTTTGAAGTGCCTCTCGGTGTCATAAGTGCTTTTAAAGTGGTGGGTGTGGTTGTTGATAAGAGTCACTGTCTGGGAATGTGTTCTGGAAACTTCTAGGTATTCCCAGGCTAATTAGAACTAGCTCTACGGATGTCATAGGGGGGGGGGGGGGTATTTTAGGAGGTGTGTGGTAAGCATGTGTTGTAGAGCACTGTGGTCTACATGTATATAAACACGTACGTGAACATCCTTTTTCATTTCCTAGAAAGCTTTGTAAGAGTTGCTCTCTGTCTTCTCGCTGTTAACACAACCTTTATCTCTTTTAAATCACTGTTGAAGAAAATAAACATTTGAGAAATCTTTCCTGTGAGGATGTACAACTCAGCCCTCGTTATTGCCAATGGCGTTGAGGCTGGTCTTCAGTCGAAGCATAAGACTCGCGGTAAATTCTACCCGCAGTTGAATCCTGGAACCTCTCACCACTACACCGAGGGGGCTGTAGCTGGCTTCAAGGTAATGGGGAAAGCTCGTAAATCTAAGTTCAGTCAAGTTGTAGTTGAGATCAGGAAAGATATCGCCGAAGTCATCACAGGTATTATGAAGACATCTCCATCAGCTAGAAGAGCAATGTCCTCGTCTAGGGTTCACCGAGTGTCTACAAACTTCTTCCCCAGCAAATCTGATAAGGATGTTGATGATGATGATGAGTGTGACGACGACGACGACGTGGAGGACAATGCAGAGCCTGGCTGTGATGGAACTGACACTGTCAACACTACTGAGATATATGTCAAGGGGACAAGCGCTGTGCCCATCAAGGCATTCCGTCTGAACAAGAACGCCGAGTACGTAGTCTACCCTGCAACTGCATCTTGGCGTAAGGAGGACGGCCTGTACAAGTTCACCGTTGGAGTGCTGCCCGTGGCACGCGTCCATCAAACCAAAATGGCTGTTCGGGACTTCATCGCTGAGGAGGACAGTGATGTTCTCAACATTCCCAGTGACGTAACTTCTGGATTGGCAACAACCTTCCGCGAGAAGTGGAGTTTGTCTAATGCAGCAGATGTGAATGAGGATGATGATGATGCCATCCGTGAACTATTTTCCTAACTCTCTCTCTCTCTCATTATTCATAACCCTGACGTAGTGTGTACTAGTAATTGTTTTCTTTTTTTTTATTTATATTTTATTATTTTTGTGTATATGTTCATGCCCATCATAATGTAAAGCAAAACATTATTTGTGACATGCACAGCAATATTCGATAATTGTCACACTAGTATTTCTCAGAGCACATTGTTTTTTTTTTGCCTTAAAAATAATTTCAAACACATTGAAATATTCGCCGTGATGATCACTCTTATTTAAAAAAGTAAAAAAAAAGTAAAAAAAAACAAAAAAAAACACTTATCATAATTATGGTGATGATGATCCTTACTCTGATTGGTAGAGACACACACACACACACACACACACACACACACAA